CGCCTGCGCGAGTCGCTGCTGGCGGCCACGCCCCTGCTCTGGGCCACGCCCCGCAAGCCCAGAGGCGGACCAGCAGCTGCTATTTATTTATTCTTTTTTACTAGAGGCCCGAAGCACGAAATTCGTGCGATAGTAGGCCTTCCTTACCCCGGTTGCTGGCACCAGCTTCCCTCTGGCACCCAGGACCCAGGCTTCCTTCGCAGCCCCGGCGTCGTCCAGAAGGTCGCCCGGAAGGATGTCTGGTCTAATTAGCATATTATGCTTTTATTATTGTAGATTCCCACAGCAAACTGGAATTAGACACATCTGGGTCACCCACCCGCCCTTGGGGTCTATTAGGAAGAGGCATCTCCCCACCCTAACCTACTCACTTCCAGCTTTCTGTAATTAGCTGGAGCAGAATGGCAGCAGTTTTGTTTACCAGAATATAAAGGAGTTAGCCAAGGGCAGAACACGGAGGGCCAGGCTGTGGGACTGGTGAGCAAAATGCCATGTCTCTAAGCAAGTATCATCCTGCACCAAGAATATCCCGGCACTGCCGGTCGTCTCCCCACCATGCTGGGAGCTCCTGGGTGCAGAGCTCATAGCCCGTGTTTTTCAATCAACCCATCAACCAAATGCATAGCTGAGGACTTAGTATATGCTCATAGATGTTTGTTGAGTGAATGAACAAGCAAGAAGCCAAACACGATGGAAGAAATGAGCTGCAGCCCTGGACGGTTTGGCTCACTGGATAGAGCGTCGGCCTGTGGACTGAGGAGTCCTGGGTTCGATTCCGGTCAAGGGCATGTACCTTGGTTGCAGGCACATCCCCAGTAGGGGGTGTGCAGGAGGCAGCTGATCGATGATTCTCTCTCATCAATGTTTCTAACTCTCTATCCCTCTCACTTCCTCTCTGTAAAAAATCAATAAAATATGTTTTTTTAAAAAGAAATGAGCTGCAGGCCATTTCTGGGGCTCTTCTGCCTGACCCTGGGTCCCTCTGCCCTGAGGGCTTTGTCCCTACTCCCATCTGGGTTATCAAGGCTGTTACAGGCTGTCGGGGAGAGAACAGGGAAGAGGCCAGAGTCTAGGGGAGTGTTCAGAGGTTCAGGCCTCTTTCCTCAGCAGCTCCCCATCTCTGGTGTCTCTGGAACTTTGACATGCTTCACTGAATCTTGGAGTTCTCATCTAACCACCAAACTCTCTCTAGGCTCACAAAGGGAAAGTGTTTGGGGGATGTTTTTTTTTCCACCTCTCACAGAATGATTGCATTCTATTAGGCTCTGGGAGAATATATCACTTGCCACACCCTCCCAGCTGCTTAATTCTGCCTGGTGATTCTGACCCAGGTTCAGAACTCTGGGCCCAGAGAATAAATGCATCTGGTAGCCTAGCCTGACAGGAGGCTATGCCTCATCCTCCCTTTCCAGTTCCATTCCTACATCCCAAACTCATCTGTCTCACAGAATTCCCCTCTCCCATCCATCAAGTCCCTCTCCCACACCCCTTCCTGAAATCTCTACCAAAATCCACTGTGCACACCAACCTTTCTCCCATGACCCTACTGGAATCTATCTCAGTTTACCTTCCTCTCCCTTATACTTCTCCTACACTAGAGGGAAGCCTGGAACAGAAGAAGGCTCACAAACCTCTGAATTTCCTTGCCCAGCAGGGCTCAGAGATGGGGAAGAGATCACAGCAGTCTGTCAGAATCGGAGAAAAATCCAAATGCAAAGCATCCGGGACAAGAAGCCACTTCCCTGATCTTTCTCCTGCAGTGGGTGTGACTGGAGATTAGTGAGAAGCCAGGCCCGGGCTGAGGAGACAAACTCTCTTCCAGCTGTGGGCTCCTATAGACTGGTGACTTGACTCAACACTGCCCAAATTCCTGGGTTTTGCCATCTTCTGAACTAGTATTTCCTTCACACTTTCCTTTAATTAATACACTTTATTTTCCTTTAAAAAATTATGTTTTAAATTGTGCTTTATGGGGTCTGGGGATCGGGGTAAAAAAAGATTAAGCAAACACAAACAAAAAAACTCAGGCATACTCTCCATCCGGAAAACTCACCCGTGCCTGCGCTCCCCACCCACCCCCTTACCTTTGCCTTTTCTCTCCTAAGCGTCAAAGGCGCTTCTGCCTCTGTAACTTGTTTACTGAGCCATAAGCCCAGCTGGCTCCCTTCTACTACCTCTGTAACTTTCTAAATAAACTTTCTCTTATAATTTGAATTAAAAAAGCAAAACATAGACACAGACAACACTATGGTGATTACTGGAGGGTAAGGGAGATGCGGGGAGGTAGGAGAGGGTATAGGGGAGATAAATGGTGATTGAAGGAGACTTGACTGGGTAGTGAACACACAATACAATACATAGATGATGTATTATAGAATTGTGCACTTGAAACATAATTTTATAAACTAATGTCACCCCAATAAATTCAATTAAAAAATTGCCCTGCCAGGTAGCTTAGTTGGTTATAGCATCATCCTGATTGTTTCTATCCCAGTCAGGGCACATATAAGATCCAACCAATGAGTGCACAAATAAGTGGAACAACAAATCTCATAAATAATTTTAATTCAATTTTTAAAATTGTGCTTTTACACCATAGCCCATATTGTAAACTTGCTATAAAGAGCTTACTATAAAAAATAAAGAGCTTATTCCTCCCCATTTCTTTCTCAGGCATGTTTTTTTTTTCCTTCCTAAGTTTTAAGGGTCCCAACCAAGGGAGCAATGGCAGCAGCAGCTCCTCCTGGACTTACCACCTGAACCTGTTTCCAAGACCCCCTTTTCTCTGACTTTTCAGTGAGCCAACAACAGCCCTGCCTTGGTTTACTCCTGTCACTGTGACTTTCCTTCCCAGTGAGCCAAAGCAGCCTCACTTAAGCCCTTCATTGTTTCACTGTCCCCAGCTTTAATAAATGTACTCTCAAAATGCATATATATGAGGGTATATAAATAAGAGGATGACACTATTAAAGTATAAATTCAGTATGCATGCTGCCAAAGGCTCTGAGCCTACTACTTGCTCTCTTTGCTAAGGCTAGGGGTCATTAAAGACAGCCTAGCACCAAGCTACAGCTTTCTCCTATACCTAATTGAAATTAGAAGAGCTAAGGCTAGGGGTCATTAAAGACAGCCTAGCACCAAGCTACAGCTTTCTCCTATACCTAATTGAAAGTATTAGAAGAGATTTGCAAAGGAAACAGCTTTCTCCTTTGCATTATCTCCAGTGGTACCACACTCAAAGTGCTAGGCCTGGGCAGAGAGTGAGCTGCTGCAGAGGCAAGAAAGGTATAGCTCACTGGCATGGCTCAGTGATGGGCGTCGACCTATGAACCAGGAGGTCATGGTTCGATTCCAGGGCGGGCACATGCCTGGGTTTCGGGCTTGATCCCCAATGTGGGGTGTGCAGGAGGCAGCCAATCCATGATTCTCTCTCATCATTGATGTTTCTATCTCTCCCTCTCCTTTCCTCTCTGAAATCAATAAAAAAAAAATCTTTTTAAAGGTATAATCCTGTGTTTCTGCAGACTACCAAATGCCTACAAAGCCCTATTTGTCTTTCTAACTACCACTCTCCTACCCCTCTGCCCCTCACTCACATTGCCCCAGCACCATCATCTACCATGCTGCTTCTTCCATAGGCCACACAGGCTCCGGTCTCCAGGCCTTTGCTCTTTGATGTTCCTTCCACTCCACAGCCAGTCTGGTCTCAAGGAGCCACAGACCAAACAGAGATTAATGCAGAAAACAATAGAACTATGCTAGGATCATCATGAATGAATGACGTTGGGCAAGTGTCCCATTGCTTCGAGCCCCTTTGCTCACCTGTCAATGAGATTAATAAGAGAATACAGAACCTACCTTTCAGGGCTGGCCTGAGTATTAAATGTGACCTGATGCAGAAAGCCCTCAAACATAAAAGGCTCAGAAAGTGCTCATGAAGTAAGTGGGTGCTATTGCCCAGAGTGGCTCAGTTACTTGAGCAGCAACCTGTACACTGAAAGCTTGCCAGTTTGGTTTCTGGTCAGTGCACATGCCTGGGTTGTGGGTTTGATCCCTGGTCAGGACACATTTCAATGTTTCTCTCTCTCTCTCTCTCTCTCTCTCTCTCTCTCTCTCCTTCCTCTCTCTAAAGCATGTCCTCAGGTGAGGATCAAAAAAAAAAAAAAAAA